ATATATTAATTAGTTTTTTAAAAAAAATGGGATATAATTTTCAATCTCGATTAACAGAAGGAAAGAAAGATACGTCTAAATTAGAAACTGTATATAAAATATGTAAAAATAATAGAGAATTAATGGACTCAAATCAAATTGATCAAATTGGTGAACAAATTAATAAATTTTTATTCAATTTAGTATCTAGTGTAGTTGATCCTATAGTTATATCAAATAATGAACAAATTAAAAAACTTTTACTTCCTGTAATTAAAAAAGATTGAATATTGATAAATTTATTATTCGTTTTTCTTTTCTTCTTCATTTCCGTTTTCAATTTCATTCATTTGATTAGAACTCATTTTTCATTTTAAAATGTTTAAAAGATCTAAAAGCAAAATTGAACCTTTTAAATCATTCAAAATACAACATGAAATTGAATGTATGACATTTTCACCAACTAGTAATTCAATCATAATTGGAACTACTTCTGGTAAATTATTAGTTTTTAATTCAATAGATTATTCACAACAAAAAGAAATTCAAGTCTCTGGATTTCCTACTGGTGCATTAGCAAAACAAAAAATTATTGGAATACTCAAATCAAAAGGTAAAATGGAAGAAGTTAAAGAAGTAATAGAAATGGGTAATTCAAGTGAATTTCCAATGGGAGATGCATTAAAAAAATATGATATTGGAGTTGATGAAATTGCTTCTTCTGGTGGAATTAAATGTGTTAGTGTTGTACATGATTTAAAAGTTGCAGTTGGATTTAATTCTACTCTTGGATTAATTGATTTATCTACATGTGGTGAAGTAGTGATTATTGAAGAAACAATATTAGGTCATTCAGGAATGGTACGTCATATAGATGTTTTTAATAACAAAATCATTTCATTAGCTAATGACCGTAATATTTGCATTTGGGCAAGTGATGGTAAACTATTAAAAACACTCCCAAGAACAGACGAAGACGAATATTATAATACATCACTACTTACAAATCAAGGTGATTTATTAGTTTCTGGAAGTAGACAATCAAAATATATGAATGAAAAAGGAGATATAACTCAAGTCTTTGAAGTAAGTGCATATAATATTCCAAATGACCCAACAAATGCAAAATTTATTAAATACTTTCATCATAATAGAACTTCACCACATCATAATGTTATAGTTTCTATTCAATTATTAGAAAATGGAAAGATTATAACAGGAAGTCAAGACGGTGTATTTGCAATTTGGGAAGAAACTGAATATCGTTGTTTATTTATTAAAATCAATTCAAGCCAAATAGAATACACTAAATTAAAACAAAATTGTCCTGTTCATTGTGCTGTTTATTGTGATAAATTGTTAATTGTTTCTATGAGAGATTATATAGCAGCATTTGATACAAGCTATCGTGAAGTTACTCCTCAAAGAAAGCCTAGTGAAGAGAAGTCAATGATGCCATTTGGAAGATATAAACGAGATATTACGAATATCTTTTCAGTTATGAAAAGTGAAAAAAAGTATTGGCTTTATCTCATCGTTTCAGAAGCTGGAGAAATTAATGTTGTTACATTTGACCCAAATAGTAAACCTGCATTTACTAAAACTCAAACTTTTACTTCAGATGGAAAAATTACTTCTACTTTAAGAACTCAAAAATCTTTATTAATAGGTTTTTCAAGAGGTACTGTAATGGAAATTATGTTCTAAATTTTTATTTTTTCTTATTTTTTTTATTTTTTTCTGATTTTCTAAATTTAGATACTAATAACAGAACATGAAAATAATTTAGAGAATAAATGATAAATTTAATAATTCTTATTAAGAAGATCAGCAGAAGAAAAAAATCGATCTTCACCAAACCCATATATTTAATATGATTTTAGAGTTTTAAAATTAAATTAATAAAAAAAAACTATACTTTTAAATACGAAAAGAAGAAAAAATGCCTATTTGAGTTAAAAATAACTCAGATGCATGGCAAGAAGAAAAGGCAGACAAAAAGAGACAATTAAAGTGGGATTATAGATCTCAAAATTAACTTTATTCGTTTCAATAGAAATGAAATTCTTTAGTGGATTACCTACCTTAACAAATCAAGATAAATTTAATATTGCCCAAATTGCTATTATTTTACCTATAGTCCTTCTTTGTATTCCAACATCTTTTAATAGAAGAAAAGAACTTAAGAATGACCTCTTACCAAATCCACTTATTCTTCTATGGGCCTTTATTCCATTTGTATTAATCTATGCCTTAAGAGTTCTTTGTATTGAACATATATTTCCTAAATTAGGTGACAAGTTTATATTTTATAAATCTTATTGGGAACCAGGAGTTAGAGAGTTTAGAGTTAAACGATTTGCTCTTGTTTTATTCAAAGCTATTTACTTTTGGATTAGTGCACCATTAGGAATTTTATTATTTAGATATGAAGACTGGATGCCTAGTGCATTATTTGGGAAAGGAAAACAAGACCTTGAGTTGTTATGGGAAAATTTCCCTTACCAAGAACAATCTCCAATGCTTAGTGTATATTATTGTTGGGCACTTGGATATCATTTTCATTCTCTTGTTTTTCATATGCAAAGTGAAAAAAGAAATGATTACTTTGAAAATTTATTGCATCATGTTGCTACAGTATTTCTAATTATATTTAGTTTCTGTAATAATTGTGGAAGAATTGGTGTTCTAGTATTAATTCTTCATGACATTGTAGATGCAATTATGTATATGAGTAAAAGTGTTAATGATATGCCAAATCAAGTTCCTGTGTATTGTGGATTTGCTTTTATTGCGATTTCATTTTTCCAATTTAGAATATTTACACTTGGTTATCATATCATTCCTGCTGCTGTTAATGCTAAAAATTATATTCCTGATGGAATTCCTGGTTCATATATTGTATTTTATTTATTAGTTGGATTATTATGTGTATTATGGGTGTTGCATGCATATTGGTTCTATTTAATTATTCAGATTATTGTAGTGGCAATTAAAAATAAAGGTCGATTAAAAGATCCTCATGCTTTAGGATAAAACTAGTTTTTCTAGACTTAGAATGGAAGATTTTTTGTAATTCAATTTTTTATTCATAAAAAAATATTTTTATTTGTTTTATAAAACATAATAAATTTTTGATATTATTAAACTAATAAGAAAATTTATTTGATATTTTTAATTGAATATAAACTTATTACAATTTATAAAATTAATGAGGAGATAGAAATTTTCAATAACACCCAAACTCATCCTTAAATTATGATACAGTTATATTTGTGTGTTATTTGGTTATTCAAATTTAATTTTTATTAGCTGTTATATTTTAACAAACGTATTTTGTTTATAACTTTTAAATTATTACCTTTCTTGATTCAAAAAGGAACATGCAGAGAGATATTTGATAGTTTTGATTTGTTTTCATTGAAATATAAGTTAATTATCTCAAAACTTTAAATCAAAAGGAGTGTTTATTTTTAATGAAGCCAATGGAACAGACATCAATATATTCTTTTGTTAAATCAAAAAATTTAAAAGCAGAGTTATCACATACTTTTGGTACATTGGCTGAAAGAAGAAGACCACAAAAAATTGAGGAGGTGGTTGGACAATTAAAAACTAGAGATGATATCATTCATCAAATTACAGTTTTAGGGAAGATTGATTCAATGATTTTCTTTGGACCACCTGGGTGTGGGAAAACAACATTATGTAAATTGATTAAAGGGTACTTCGAAAAGTCATTTATTGAATTAGATGGAAGCTCAATTAATACAAAAATGACTAAAGACCTTAAAAGTATTATTAAAAAAAATAAAGAAACAACACACTCTCAAACCATTATTTTTATTGATGAAATTCATTGTATTAGTCCAATAGTACAAGAACTTCTTATTGATTTGCTTAAAGAAAAAACAATTCATTTAATTGGAACAACAACCCAAGTTCCATCATTTTGTCTTTCAAAAGAATTACTTCTCTTTGTGAGGGTTATTATGTTGGAACGATTGAGTGAAACATCATTGAAGGAAATTATTAAAAGAGCAATAAATGCTGAATACTCAAAATACATAGTTAGTGATGAAATAATTAATAAGATCATCGACTCAAGTGATGGAGATGGAAGAATGGCATTAAATAATTTAGAAAGATTGATTCAATGCGCTGAGTTGGAAAAAGTAAATGAGATTAGTATAAAATTTGTTCATGAAATCATTGGAAAAAAATCTCTTAATTATGATAAACGAGGGGATGAACATTATAATTTAATAAGTGCATTTCAGAAAAGCATAAGAGGAAGTGATGAAGATGCTTCAGTTTATTGGTTAGAACGTATGATTCTTTCAGGTGAAAAACTTAGTTATATTACTCGGAGAATGTTAAGGATAGCAAGTGAAGATATTGGAATGGCAGATACTAGTGCGACAACAGTTATATCAAATGTTGCGTATGCTGTTGATGTTTTAGGGTATCCTGATTGTAAATGTTGTTTAGTTGAAGGTGTTTTATATTTAGCAAGAGCAAGAAAATCAAATTTTTTAGATGTATTAGATGCAGCAGGAAGAACCTCTAAGAAGCAAAAATACTCTGTTCCATTGGAAGTATCTTTGATGAGTAAGCATTGTCTTTTTAAATCAAAGAAGTTCTCTAATAATAAAAATATTTTTCGACCAAAACCTATTATGAAAGAAAAGCAAATGTTATATTCTCGTTTTGTAAGACCTGTAGATTATGAAAGCATCCTTCCAACACAACCACAACACTAAATTTATTTATTTTCTTCTTTTTTAGTATCATAATTCTGATAAAAGATTCAGAAAAAAGAACTTCTAATTATTATGATAATGAATAAATTTTCGAAAATTATTTATCTAACAACATATAATTTATTTCTTAGTTTCTCTTAGTATTATAGAAGGGTGTTAAAAATAATTATTAAAGAATAAATCAATTCTGTTTAATAAGAAAATTCATTTAAGAAAAAATAATTCACAATTTTATCATTTATCATACTTGTGTTGACAATATAAAGTTCTATATAGAACAAAATTATTGTATAATATAAAAATTTTTTCTAAAGTATTTTTGAGAAGAATAATAAAGGAATATCTTTTGAAAAATTATTTTTGTTATATCTTTCAATTAAATTTTTAGAATCCTCTTTTCTTAAAAAACATTTAAACAGTTATTTCAAACTGCCTGTTTTTCTAACTCTTTTTAACAATAAAAGTGGGATTATTCAATATTCTAAGTCACAAGATATAAAAATAATAACAAAAACAGAGAAATCTAAAAAATAAGATGAAAATAAATAATGATAATACCTAAAATAATTAGCATCATTATATTAATTATTCCTACTGCCTTTTCAAGTGGGATAAAGTATTGTGAGGCAACAGGTTCTGAGTCTGATCATTTTTGGTATATCAATTATTTAAATACTTTTGAAATAATTTTAGGGATTGTTATATTAGTATTTACTATAATATCAGTTCTTCCACAAGCTATCAAAATTATTAGAAGAAAAGATGGAGAAGGATTATCTCCAACATATCTTTTACTTATGACTTGTAACCAAATCTTTGCAGGAGTAAACTCTACGATTCTTAATTACCCTACAATGGCAAGTTGTCCTTATATTGGTCCTAAAAAATGTCTACCACCTTTATTATCTTATTTTCAAATGATGTCATTAGTAGTTTTAGAATTTATTATCTTTACTCTTTATTTAATATTCTTTAAAGCAAAAAAAGATAAAATTTATATCAGAGCAATATTATTCTTTTTATTATCTGTAACATTTTTAATTATATCCATATTATTAGTTTTTATTAGTATATATTGGATAGGTGAATGTCATCCATTTACTGATTGGTTTGCTTATGTATTTGGAATTTGCTCTTCTATTGTAACTTTTGTTGAATACTTACCTCAGATATGGAGAACTTTTAGAACAAAAAAATGTGGTTCATTATCATTAACCGCCAATTCAATTCAAACAATTGGATGTTTTGTTATTGTATGTTATATGTTTTTTTCAACACAACAACATATAACGACTTTAGCAACATATATTGTTTCATTTGTTCAACATACTGTCTTAGTTATTTTACAAATAAAATACGATTATATTGATAAATACTTTTGTAAGAAGAAAGGTTCAGGTTACAATGATTTTAATTTGGAAGAAATGAAAGAAAACAAAGAAACAGGTTCAATAAAAGAAAATGAAGTATATCATCAATTAATTAATCAAAATAAAGAAAAAGAAATTGTAATTGAACCAGTAAAAGAAGATATTAATGAAATTTATAATGAGATAGAAATAGAAGATGAACAAATTAATAACAGAAGTAGAGAAGAAACAGAAAATGAATTGGAACAAGTTGTAATGATTGATAGCTAATTAATACATCTATAGTTTTTTTCTATTTCTATTTCTTTTTTTTATCTTTTTTATTAAAAAACTTATAATTCATCAAGTAATGGCACGAAGCCAAGAAAAAGCACATTCTATGCTTAATAGATGGAAATTAATGCAAAATGATCAAGAGATAGGAAATCTTCAAATTAAGCCTAAACATCCAGATCAATGTAAAACAATACAAGCAGCAAAATATTGGAGACAAATGATTATTAAAGAAATTTTGCAAAAAGTAAGTGAAATTCAAAATGGTACTTTAGGAGAAAATGCTATTCGGGCATTAAATAAAGAGATAAATAGTTTAAATAAAGAAAGAATGCAGTATGAGCGTAAAATAAAACAATTAGGTGGTGTTTCTATTGTTTGTTACTTATAAATATATTTTCTGCACATAGTCTCTTATTATTTTAGGAAA